GTATATATTGAAATACTATCGAAATATTAACTAGACAAATACATGAAACTTAGTTCCACTTTTAGGCTCTATAATCGCAACTTTATAGAAAAACTTATAAACATCATTCAGTAATTATTATACATTTCCATCCGGTATCTGCAAGTTCAAAATATAATTTCAAGCTACTATCCAGTATCTTCTCAATTTTTATTTTAGTATACGATTACTTGATTTTAATAGCTATTTGTGAGCTTATTTATTAAACTATTCATTTTACCCTTCGTTTTTTAATTATTTGAACTTTAAGTGAAATTGGATAATTTACTAATTAATTGTTATGCGTTTTCTTACATTTTTCATGTGTAAACTAGTGATATCATATTTTTTATAATATTAAGACAAAAACTTATAAAAATAATTTAATTAATACATTCATTCATCAATTCGATTGTAATTTTAATTTTAGTTTTAATCTTTATAAATGTTTTCAACTGTATAATCTACACAGCTTTTTATACTGATTATATAACCATTATATAATTACAGATCCTCTTATTTTATATTTCTTTAAATATTTATATTCTTTAATAATAACATGAATTTATAATAAATTTAAGATAAAATATATTTTTTCCAATATATTATAATGTATTTCATATAATTAATATTTTAATATAATAAATAATATTTTTCAGGTTGAAATAAATAATGAAAAAGAAAACAGTGATATTAGATAAACAAATGAAGGATATAGATTTAAAATTTTTTGACACGTGATAAATATTTTGAATTTATCTTTTAGATGTGCAAAGATATATTAATTTTTAACAAACAGAAGAGGCAATATCACAATCAAGAAAATTACGTACAATTAACCACTGGCTTATATAATAAACCAAAGCATATACATTTATCATCAGAATATTATTATATTACTATAAATTATTTCGTAAATAATATATTTATATTAGATGATATACTACTTCATATTTCTTTAATGTGACTATTAAAATATATTTATCTTTTTAAAAATACATTATATATGTAAAATCTTTAGTTTAGTATATTCTGAGAGTAGAATAAAAGATACATTACATACTAACAAAAATACGAAAAATTTATATTTATATTAAATATTAAAGAATATAAAAGAAGTTTGTGCCATTAATTTTATTTAAGAAATCATAATCACTATACAATTTTTTTATATTTTTACACAAATATTAATCAAATGACTACTTTACGTTAATGTCATAGCCTACTCTAAAATATAATGGTTTCCGTATTTGTATTCATTTTTAAAAAATTGTTGCTACACCGCGTATCCGAAACATGTGTATAATTTTTCTGAAATGAAATTAAAAAAATTCGTATAGTTTTAAAATGTTAAACTTCTTAAAAATCTAAATAAAATAAAAGAAAACTGTTATGGACACAGTATGAAATATGCAAATAAAAATATTATTGATCATATCGTTAAGTATATTGTGAATGTATTTAAGATGTCGATAGACTTATTTAATAATAAGATTTGGCTTACATTTTACTATTTTTATTCAGTTTTAAAATGATACTTATTTTCTGTTGATTAAAAATAATAATCGTTCATTAATTTTGATAAAGAATGAATTATAGCAAGGTCAAGTATTTACGTAACCGATATTGAAATCCCTAATGTGATTTATCTATCTATTTATTTTATCTATTTTTATATTTTTATCCTTATATATTTTAGAGAAATACAATTAATATATATATAAATCTTTCGGAAAAGCATCCTTTAATTCTAGCTCATTTACACTAAGTTTGTTTAGCACGTCAAGATGTTATATTGAATACTATTAGATAATATAATTCAATCAGAATTAATGTTAACAACTTTTTATAAAAATAATTAAATTAATCAGACTTAAAACAGTGATACAAAAAAGGTTTAATTTATTTGCAGAATAATATTTTTTATGGGTAGTTAATGGTTCTAACTATAATACGTAAAGAAATTGAAAAAATTAAATATAAAACAAAGCAATAAAAAGTATAATTCATGAGAAGCAAAAATTCAATTCTCATTTCACTATTCAATATATTATTATAAAGAGAATAAAAATAATAAGTATAAGAGAGCAATGCGCTATTATAATATAAAATATACACTGTAGAACGCAGTTTGTTTAAGTAGGAAAATGGACATGATAAATGAAAATGTATTGATAGTATGATATACGCTATAATCAGATTTTAATTAAGATTGAATTGATATTGAAATGAAAACTTGATTAACAAAATTTTCAAAACAATATTTTTAAACCAATTTTTATTTTACAAATCATCAGATATAAACAAATATACATTATTCATGTATCTATTTATTAGTCGAGTCATAGATAAATTTTAATTCTAAATATCTAATCTATTAATAGTAGTGTAATATGTGTACCATTAACATATACGTTATATAAAAAATAAAATCCAATATCCGTAATTTCCTTTTTAGAATAAGCATACAGTCTTTCAATTATCTTAAATTTATATGTTAATTTGTTTTCCTATAGACATTTAAATAAAACCCCATGATTTCTTTCGTAAATACTAACGAACCCTGACTTTTTAAAATTATAATATTCTTCATAAATACACTAATATAATGAAATTAAAACCATCTTCTTGACAATGAAACTATTTTAAGGTATATTATCATTGCGAAGGCAGCAACATTATATGTAATCACATATGTTATGGAATTCGAATGTGGCTATCAGTAAATTTTATTGATTTAATCAATTTTATATTTATAACAAATAATATATAGTAAACCATAAGCTTAGAAATAGATGGTAAATTACAAACTAAGATTGTCTCTATCACAATTCATGTAGTATCTGAATATGTTTATTTTAAAGTGGATTCAAATACATATAAATATTATTGTTGCACTTATTAATTAGTTTGAATTCATTGGTTCGAATTAATTAAAACGTGCCTTTATTTTTAAAGAGAATAAGTACGTTTTAGATAAAAATATTTATTTTTATAAATGACATAAATTGTTATAGTAGTAAAAATTCTAATTATATAGCTAATGTAACTGAGATGAATTATAATGATTGTTGTCAATTCTGCTTTAAAAACAAAATAAAAAATTTAATTTATAATCGTGATATTGTGATTTCTATAAAGAATTATTTAATACTTCACTTACATTTTTCAGTTCTACTTTTATAACTGAAAAATTTAAAAATTAAAATATTTAGAATTGAGATAGAATTAGAATTATTTAAATATTTATTACGTACTCGTGTATTTTTTATTATATGAAGACCGATAGAATATAAAATAATGACATTTTAAATTTCAATAACAGTGTATTTTCAAATAGTAAAGATTAGATGATATTCATAAATTGTTATCGAAGTTCATAAACTCATTTCCGAAATATTCCTTAATATAATTCTAACATAGGTAATAATTAAAATATATGTAATTGCAAAATTATTTAATTTATAAAAATTCTCATTTACTTGTATCATATTCATCTTAAAAACTAAATTGAAAATTTTTACTTCGAATTACTTACTATAGTTACTTAACATTGAGTTTATAAATCATTTTTCCACATAATAGTCTTGAGTTTCTTTCTAAATTTGGCTTATTTATATAATTATTAATCCAGTACGTTATGTAATTTACTATTTACAATTATTTATTTTAATTTTAATGTGTATTGTAAGTTTTAAGTTCACATTAATATAAATTTTAGAAATAAACATAGACACAATTTTTCAACACACAAAAATTATAAAATACAAATCTGGTCTTCCATTTTCATTATTTCAATACATGTTGTATTTTTTCTTTATTAAAATGATATTGCCATATTATCAGAAAATATTTTTTTTACATTTACCGCAACTTATTTACTTTATTATAGTAATTGAAAATATTATATACGCCTTTTTATAAGTTAATTTGAATATTTAAACAATTATATACAACGAACAGTCAAGTTAGTTTAATAATGACTTCAACAAATTACAGTATTAATTTTTTCATCATATCCATATTGATCTAATTAATAATTAATAATTTAAAAATATACTAGATAATATATGAAAATTATGAAATTATAAGCTTACTCTAACATAAATATTTAGGCACACATGTTTCGATTAAGGTTATTTTTATTTTACTATTACATACAATAATTTTTAAATTCTTGTTATTAATAGTAAAAATTAATTTATTCATAGTATCCGGACTTAATTATACAACTTATAAACTATATAATATAAAAAAAGTTTAAATGTAATATTTAATTATTAATATGTCATTCTACACTACTATAGAAATAGTAAAATATTTTATATATTGAAACAAGCACATTACATGAATTATTATAAGAATGTTTGTGCTTAAAATAGATAATTATAAAAATTTTTTCATAATTTTTAATATCCATTTTGTTTATAAACTTTCATATGATAAAATATAAATTTCATTGTAGTCTTTTATATGATTATATAATTATATTTTATTAAGAAGTTAAGAAATGTAAGAATGTTTTATAAGTGTAAGAAATAAAAATTAGATTAAAATTGTCAATTTTCTACATGTACTAATAAAAGATAAATAATTAATTAAGATGATAGTGTTTTTTTATTCCACTACTTTTATATACAATACATTTATTGTCCAAAAAAATAATTAATTAGTAAATAAATAAACAAATATAAAACGTATTGATTAAAAATTGATATTAAACTGATTTCTGTAAAATATATATGTAGCTGAATCACTAATTTATTATAAAATTGACTTAATAATTAGTTGTTTCATGAATTTTATTTGATTTAATTAAATTAAATTATTTGATTTATTTATTTATTCTTACGTTATAATCATATTATTTTTATTTTGATAAAAATTTTATAGAAATTAATTTAACAGAAATAAAATAAATACAAAAGAAATTATAAATAAATTTAAATTATGTACAATAAATATCTCCAGAAGAAGATGGCTTCCTGAGTGTTATGTATTTGAGTATATGTCTTCTGAACATACATTTAAAAATTACACTGTAGATGGCAGGTTTAAGAGATCCTCTGATATATTTAATTATCATCAGCTCTCAGAGTATTACAATACAACCTGCAAAATTTAAAAACCGTTTAGCTGAAGATGCATTTCACTTCATAATAGGGGAGACTCAAAATAATCTGCTCCACGCTCCAACTTCGTATTCTATATAAAAAAGTATTTAAAATTAATTGACGTATCTTAATAAATATAGCAGTCTGGATATATATATTATTTTATAATTTATTTTAGATTTAAAAATTAAAAACAATAAATATATTGATGAATAAATTCAATTATTTTCAGAAATTATATTATACATATTTAATTTAATAAACTTCTACGTAACTACAAGATAAATTAAATTTTGTATTTTTAATATAACTGATAAAGGATCATTTTTATATAGTAAATGTTTAATAATAAAATGGAGTGTTTTTTCGAGAAAATATAAATTAAAACAAATTGGTATTTTTTATAACACTTAGCGCAGTCAAGTTACCATAGTTCTTAAAAACATGTACGTACATGTAATTGAATTGCACTCGCACACATTACAGCTATACATTTATAATATAAGTAATTTTAAGTTATTAGTAGAGTTAGTACTCGACATACAGACACAAACGTCATTTTTGTGAGTTATTAATAGTGATATTAAATATGGTATAATCACTAATTCACTTATTTTTAACATTGAACTGAATAATTATAATCTATTTAGATGAATTACAAATTTGATTCAATTATCGTATTTAGTTGAAATATTAGATATATTATCTTTTAATATAGATAATCTCTCATATTTATATTTTTAAGTATTTTTTGCATTTTACAAATATATACAAATTAAAGAAATTTTAAAAAAATTAAAAAACAATGAAATAATATTAGAATAATAAAATAAGAAGAAATCGAGCAAATCTGAAGCATATTAAAAATTCAATGTATTCAGTATAAATAACAAAGATTCGTTGTAAGAGTTGTAAGTTAAATGCACTTTTGATGGTAATTAATGCTTCGCGTGTTAAAAACTTGACGACACGTTTTCGAATTCCATTGCTTACGATAAGTACATAAAATAATAGATTTTCATGCATTTTTTAATGAACATTCTTTTGAAAGAAAAAGATATAATATTTGAGACTATGAAACATTAGTAATTCATAATTTATGGTTTATTTTGAAGTATTGAATGAATGCACAATATATTTATAAATTAATGTTTCTTTTTTCATAACTTCTCGACAAATCAGGAAAAAATTAATTTAGTAATAAAAAAATGCAATAAGACAATTATTAAATATAGATGACAGTAAATAATAAATAAATTATGATATGGTGTAGTTAAAAATGTAGATGGAATATCTAAAGATATCAATTATAATGCCAAATATTTATATCAAGGAATACATAAGTTTATTATTAAAAATCTGAAAGCTGTTAAAAAAGAAATCTATACTAAGCTAAGTATAAGATGCGATCAATTATAAATTAAAAATAATGAGAAGAAATTAATATAGGTTATCAAAGCATTCAATTACCGATTAAAAATAATATATTATGCCTTAAAGTATTATTTATAATTAGTAAAAACAAGTTCCATCGTTAAATATATTAACGTGCTTTTTTCTGAATTTATGTATTTCAAATTGAATTAAAGTTTATTAAACTATTAATTGAAATTTCAAGCACATTGCCAATGACAATTATCTTTATATGATTCAACGAAGAGCATTGATAAAACATCACAAAGTGCATTATTTAGAAACACCTCATAAAGTTACGACTTATTTAATCAATAACTTACTGCAAAACAATATTAATCTCTTGTTCTAGTTTTAAATAAATAGTATTATGAAAAATGTAAATTGTTAACTAACAATGAAAATTTATGATGCTCAACTACGCATTTAACAATATTTTTACATAAAAAAAATTAATTATAGTTTATATGTAAACAATAATAATTATATAGCCAAATTAATAAATAAAATAATATAAGGACAAAAATTTAAGCGAATACATAATAATTGATATATAATCTATAACATGAACAGAAAGAAGAGAAATAAAAATCAAGTAAATAACAAGTATGTTATAACAGTACAGGTAAGTAAATAACAGATATGTTATAAATAATAGTAATAGCAGTAATTTCTTAACTATAGATTCTAAAAATAAAAATATATATTAATTAAATAATAAGCACATAATGTGTATTCTAATATAGATGTAAACAATATATAGTTGTTCGGGAATTGCAGCAGTTTTCTAGAATTTAAATTCGGAAAAGTACAAGCTCCAAGACGCTCATATTTGTAAACACGGTTCAGCGAATTCGGGAATTTTCCTACACCTTAAATTCGAATACACGTCAATATTTTTGCATAGCAACGCCGATGAAACTTCTAGAACCTTCGAAGGTTGTGTCCTTCAATGCTTCTAGAATATTCCAGAGCTTCGTTCTCATCGGCGCTGCTGACGGCGTCGCAAATTGCTACGTGAATATTTGAGAGCAGCTCGCCACGCACCGTAACACTGTACCTTTAACATCCACTCAGTCGCCACGCACCTGTCTCCCGGTATAGTTTACTATCTATTCAGTTATTAATTATAGTTCACTGTAATTCTAGCACTCGTTCATTCATCCGTTATTATTAATCAGTGCATTTTCAAATCTATATAGTTTTAGTTATCACTTGCGACTATGAATCTTAGCTGCATGCTTGACAATCAGCCTACAAAATATATGTGCGTTATTGTAAGAAGAGGTTAGCAATTTAACAGTGAAGCTGTTTGGAATTGTAATAAAAAAAAGGCGCCAGCTACGCAGCCAAACATCAAGCCCTGTCTGTAGTTCATAAGGTACATCCTTTTCATTATTTGTACAAGCTAGACAGCCACGCTCGCATCACGGTTTATATAAAGTCTGCCAAGAAAGGTAGAGCAATACCCTCTCTCAGGCTAACCAGGTGAGAGAACATTCTTTCACCCAGCTACAGTCGAGACAGGTGGAGCAATATGCTCTTTCAGCCCAAGCAGGCCAAAGAACGTTCTTTTGCCCAGCTACAGTGAAGACAGGTGGAGCAATACGCTCTTTCAGGCCAACCAGGCGAAAGAACGTTCGTTCACTTCTCCAATCCGTTTAATTACATTATCAAGGGTAGATAACAGTTATCAAATAGTGGACTATAACTCCATTTTATTAAGTCCTTCCGTACTTGAAGACTTATCATTTATCGTTCTTGCGTGTGACTAGTTCTCTAATAGTCCCATACTCTCTTTGGAGTATGGTCGATTTACGTAACAACTACCACAGACTACCGTATTTTCTTTTAATTATGCATATTCTCCCTACTAAGCACTATTGATTACCATTACCGTCTGTCCATGCTCATTGATGAACATGGTCGATTTCTCATGCTGATCCTTACAACATTAGCAAAAACCCAACTTTAACATCAACGACATCGCCACCACCTTGAAAAGGCAACATTACAACAGCAATAGAATAATTCCATTTCTCTCACATTAAACAATCATAAAACTGCAATATTATATTTATTAAAAAAATCAGAATAAACGATGTCTTAACAAAACAAACCCTCAATTTCGAACTATAGGAAATAATGCATAATTAAAAATTATATTACTTAATAGAAAGATTGAAAAAGACGAATGAAAACAATAAAGAATGTGGAAAACTTTGACAAAATAACACTGTATTTATGTATAATTACATTTATCAGTAAGATATATATATATATATATATATATATTAATGTAAAATATAAAACAAAGGTGAAAAGAAAAAAATTATTATTATAATATTTAAGATAATTCATGTACACGAATATTATAAAGAGTAGTTAATATAACAATTTTCTTAATATTTAATATTTTATATACAACAACTAATAGTAATAAAGTATTAAAAAAATGGTTTAAAACGAATTCGAAACTTTAATAAAAAAAAAAAAAAAACAAAATTAAAAAATGTTAATCAAAACGGTATATGTGATAGACATAATAAATACAAAATAAATACAATACATGTTTTACTATCTTACATCGAACAGTGTATCGACAAATAACATTTGTTCGAAAATTCATTTAATAGAATTACATAAAAAAAAAAAAAATATTTGAGACACATAATTATGTAAGAATGTAATAATATTGAAATTACAGAATATTTTATACACTTATTTCACATGTTTATACATAGTTTAAAAGGTATCGGTAAGACAAAATTCGAATACTGTTTTCCATTAAAAAAAAACTATGGCTTTTCAAAATTTTTTATTTAAAGATAATATTCATATAATTAATATTAATATACTAACAAGTAAGACTTATAATATTCTATGTTATTTTGATCTTAAGCTAATAAATAATATAAAAGGCTGCAATGAAAAGGAGAAATAGATCTATGAATAAAGCCAGAAAAGTTAAAATTTAATCAATTTTTTATGTTAAAAGACCACTGACATAAGATTAATGAAATATTTCAGGATGTTATAAATATTAAATATAAAAAGAATATAAATTAAAGATTCTGTAAACCCAATAACCAAGAGAACATTTAAATAAAATATGTTTCCTTCAGGAGTAAACATCATATAAAATTTTATTCAATTGCCAGGAAGAATAAACTAAATCAACATATATAATCAGAAAAGTGTTACCTAAAAGAGGTAAGATAATAAAATAAAAGCTAGTGAAAATATCATCGAATTGGGTATTGAAAATATTACAAATATATCTGTATTTATCAAAGTACTTATTAAAAATAAATGAAAAATACGAGAAATTATATTTTATAATGATAAGACTAAAAATAAGAATGAACAAATTATTATAGAATATAATTAGAGTGCAGTATCAATTTATTTATTACAATAGATAATGCTAAGATATGGGTAAAGATGAAACATCTGTAGGGCATATAGACACTGACAAATTATTACGTAAAAAAGAAATGTACTAATGAACACAACTAAATGTTTATATGAATGAAAAAAATTTGATATATTTTATATAAAACTATTTTTTTAATGATCATAGAACTTAAATTATAAAACATAATTAATTAATAAAACAAACATCAATATAGTATGACCACAGTTAATAAAAAAACTATATAATTAAGAAATACAGACGAGAAAAATTGCAATTGCAGTAGTCACAGTTGTTTAATGTATAATTATGGATAAGACATCAATATATAGAAAACTTGCCTCCTTGGTAATTGAATAAATATAAATAGACGTGAAAAAAATCAAAATAGCAATCACATATGCTTTTCATTAGTCATAAAATTTTACGTTATCGAAATAGAAATTCAGTGGCTATTTTTCAGTCAAAAAAGATAATGTGGCGATCATCGAATATTATTATTTCAAATTCTAAACAAATCCACAAACGCATGAAAATACTTCTAATTTTATTATTTAATTTATGGAAAAACTATGCATGTATGCGAGAGGTCTAATGTAATATTATTCAACTAGACATAAGAATTATTAAGAATTATTCAATACATAAAAAACGACTATCACTCTCATACTCCCTAGTTTTTTTCACAAATAAACGAATATCAAATATTCAACATTTTTTCCTTATTATATTTCTCCAGTCTTTACAAATAATTGAAGTTAATTATACTTGTTAAATATTAATAAAATAAACACTCTTTACATTCATATATACGTACCTTTTTTCGATAGAAAATGTAAACAATTGTGGTAGCAGACAAACGCATTGTCAATATTGAATAATATCATCTACTACTGCAAAGCCACACGCTCCGAGTCCAATACTTGACATAAGACGAACAAGTTCTTTTGCATGAGAAACTGCTACTTCAAGAGGTGGAAGGCGTGGTAAATCACTAGATTCTGATAGAAATTTATAATTAGATTTAATAATAACAATCGGTATTTTCCAGAAAATATATATGTACATGTTGCTATGAATACTTTCAAATTTAATTTTTTTCGTAATATTGAAATATATTTTTCTTAAATAATTTCATACTACAATTTTGTTAAATATTTAATTCATAATAAATAATGAATATACATTTTAAGGGATCCAATAAAAATGACTTTATATAAATAAAAAGGTTGATTTATAAATATTTCGTTTTTTTTATTAATTAAAAAAATTAACATTATAACATTAATAGTAATTCCTCCACAGACACAATAACTAAATTGTGTAATAAAATGAGTTTCATTATTTAACAGAGATGGGATACAAATATATACATCTATGTATGTATTAATTACAACACAATACTGAAAATAGTTAATTTATGAGTAAAATTGAATTTTTTTACTATTGCCTGATTCATGATTCAATGAACTTTATTTAATTTTTTATTTACCTGTGATCAATTAAATAAAATAAATAAAGTAATTAAAATCCCATGACTTCATTAATAATGAATTGAAATTATATCTCGATGAAATTAGATATAATTTCATAGTTTGATAGTATTAAAACAAATTCTAAATATTTTTGTCAAATACACTTTATGCAATCAGTTAAAAATATATAGAATTAAAAGTATATTTAAAATAAATAGTGTACATAAAATTAAAAATAAATTCTCATCTTACATTTAACAAACTTACATTTTTTATTTGCTTTCTTACCGCAAGTGAAATGATAACAATAGTAATAATAATCTATAAAATGAGAAAAGCAATTAATGTAATATATTGCAATGTTATTAAATATCGTAGTATTAATAAAAAAATTCGAGATTGTTTCATTCCATGGATATCTTTTTCTTGAACTATTAACGTATTAGTTAATCCAGTGACAACTGCAGCATTAGATTAAATATTTATAGTTTGTTGCATAAATTAATTTTATTATATGATACTTATATTAATTTTAATATTATATTACTTTTATATGAAAATATGTAATTACATATTTTCATTCTTATTATATATTAGTTTTCCAATGATGTACACATTTTATTAAAATTATATTTCATGAATTATTTAATAATAAATATTTTGTCTATTTTATATTTTACCTAAAATAGCAGAATTAAGTCGAGCGCAGACAGTTTCTCTTTGTTGCGGATCCAGTTGCCATCCTACTGGAGAATTCCATGGATTTGAGTAGGCCAGCAAACTAAATGCATCTCTCAACATTTTCTTATTATTTTCATTTTTCCCATTTTGCACCCTTAATTGCATAGATTGTGCATATAGCTGCCTTCCAAAATCCAACATTTTTTCAATTGCTTGTTTATTTCCACCACACAATTGCCTTTTACAGTTCTTATTAGAATAACATTCCATTGAAATAAAATGCTTATTTTGCTGACTTTGATTTCCAATATCAATTTCTACAAAAGACATAAAAATAATATATATAATTTTGCTATAAAGTATAACAGTTGAAAGGCACAATAAAGCAGAATTTTCGAGGATTAATTACAATTATTATATTAGAATTTTATTGTGAATATATAATTATAAGCATTGGTTTAATAAAACTTTGTTTTTATTAAACATAAATATAATACACGTTTACATATACAATGTTAATTAAAAATGAAGAATATATTGTATGATTCAAATTATTTTGATAAAACATAACACATGTTTAAGTGGAATTTGTGTGAGCACACATTTATAAGCCGATACATTTTGATATATTTACAATTATATTTTTGATATATACAAAATACTGAATGATTCTTATAATTTAAAAATAAATAACAAAACTATAATGTAATTTATTTCTTCGAAACAGATGACCTATTCTTTATGTACTTAAATATTTGTGTAAAAATATTGGAAGATAAGAATTTTTTAATTTAACTGGGTTAATATTATATTTATAAACATTGAAAAAGTAAAATAAAATATTGTAAAATATGTGTTTGTTCATAAATGCTATTTATGAAAATGAAATATAAAATAATTGCACTAATAAATTTTTTATAACCCTTATTAACACGAGTAAAAAGAATATTTTTAAATTAGATTCAATAAAGTTTGTAAATCGTAAGTGTATTAAATTTTACAGCAATATTATGAAAATAGATGTTCTATTCTCTAGAATAGAAAGATCATATACAGTAATATATTAGAATAAAAATTTTTTTTATATGTTTGTATATATATAAATATTAATAAAACTATGTTGGAATATACCCATTATATCATCGCCATTTATTTGTTTGAAACCGTTAGTATTCACAACAGTTTTGTGTTGATTGATCATATTCTTCGAATTACTTAATGTATTTAAAGATGTATCTTCCATATCAATATCATCTTCTAATTGGCCACTTACAAAATGTTGGTCGCTTATTCCGTTTATTGTATTATGATTTAGTTCTTCTAAATTGCAATTTATGGATGATTTGTTTAATAACTTAGTCGACTGTATAACACTCGTTTGATTTTCATTATTATTTCGATAAATTTCGGAATCAGTTCCATTTACCATTTCTACAAATTGTCGACATTTTAATGCAAACATTAAGTTTGTATCTCTTTCAAGTAATCCTGGATATAATTTGCTTGTCAAATCAATTGCTTCTCCCATGCAACCAGCTAAAATTAGTTTCAGTATTTCTAAAAAGAAAATAATACATTTTTAAAACTTTATTAAATTTTTTATGTAGATAATCTTTCACGAATATATTTTTAATGTTGTCTACTAATAATTATTGTTTGTTTTAATGTTACTTAAAATTATACATAAATATATTTTCAAAATTAAATATGAATATTTATAATTAAAATGATTTTTTATAAATATTACTTGAAATTTAAATTACTTTTGGACATAAATCATTAATTTATTATAGATTTAGATTAATAAAACAACGCTAAAATAGGTGGAGATTACAAAACTAAAAATATTTTGCGAAAATGAAACAACTATCAATAATGAAATATAAAATAAAAACAAGATAATAACCATTATAAATTAATCTTTTAAACGAATGTAATTTATAAATTAAAGGAATTAATATACTAATAATAAATTTTGATCAGACTGAAAGAAACACTAAAAATAAAACGACTTTTTCATATACGCTTAATTTCTTATAAAATCATTCCTAGATTTGACAAACATATTAAAAAAAATAATATAAATTGACTAATATCAAAAGCATAAATATCAATTGAAACTTTAATACTAGAAGAATCTGTTTTCTATATATATTTTACAGCTTTTTAATTTAAAATATTTCTTAAGAATAAGAATGGATAAAAAATGAAATAAAATAACATTGCACAACCAATCTTTTACCGTTTATCAGAGATAGTAGATTTAAAAAATGAATATTTGAAAACTATATAACTTTTGTATTTGTAAATTTCAATTTAAACCATTGTAAGACTATTAATTCAAAATTTTTATTCATTTATAATGTCTTTCTGTTGTGTAAAATTGTAAAACTTTTTTTTTAGTATGTTTTAAAAGTATTAAAAATCGTGTGGATAGAACGCTTTGGTATCTTAAACTTTCTTTCGTTATTAAATATTTTATATAATTACAGTAATAAAAGACTCATATTTTGAAATGCTCTCAAGTTATTAATAAATTTAATTAAAATTAGAAATAATATATATGTGATTCATTACAAACAACTACTCAATACAATTATGGATCTCAGCTTAGTTGATTATTTAATTTTATTCCATTTTAAGTAATAATGCCAATTGTTAACTAATTTCAGAAATACAATTATGACATATTTCACGTAATTATGTTTTGCCAGCCAGGTAGGCACAGACAAATAACATATTTATATGAATGTTAAATATATTATTTATATGACTATACATATAATATAAAATATATAAATAATATATGAGTATGAATATTTTTATTAAAAAATTATCTGTACTCAATAAATCTTTATCATCCAAGAAACAGCAATCTAATACTGGGACGAGATCCTCTATCAGAATGCTGTCATGCAGTGAAATAAGAAATAAATTTGTATGCAAGTAGATGGGCAAAATGTCTATATATATATATATATATATATACTTACACATAAAAGAATAAGCATGGAAAGTGAATAAGCGAAAAAGATATGTAAACTTAATAAATAAATCATTAAATATATATATATATATGAAGCCGTATATTTATATGTATAGTGTATACATGCAGCACACAGATTTAACTTGAATTGTGAATCATCGCAAGTGCTAGCGTCGACCTCAGACACCTCACCAGTGCCACAAAGTGGAAGAGCAATAAAAATCCACTCGTGTAACCGTTGACAATACCATGGTGAGTGAACTCATGATTTGATAACCTTAATATATATAAAATTTTCATGCTTGACATGGCATTTGCTTTACAAAATATAGCCAACACGAAGAATTGAAATAATTTTTAATGGAGATAAGGCCAATGATAATCCATCACCTCTGTAGACACCTCGTTTTCAAAAAAGATCATTTAACTAACTCTATTTATTTCTCAAATGTTATTTAAGATACTCCTTTATTATCCGTAAGTATATTGTTCAACATACTCTTTTGTTTCCTCTGCAAAATAATTCAAGATATATACACAATAACACAAGCGTCACTTGAACCTTATGAAAGGCATATGCTGGAAAAATGTAAATAAATATATATATATATATATATATATATATATATATAAATATTTATATATATATAGATGTCTGATTTTTAAACTTAAAATTGCATTTTGTCTATATATAAATTTAGAATTGCTTATAAACTGAGCTTTTTTGAAGCAATCATAATTACTTGTTCTTTTATTTCAAATTTACATATATGTTATTTTTAAAATCTAATTCTTTTTCTATAATTAATTAATCTGCTTTCATATCAAAATTCAATTTCATCTCAGATTTTAATATGAATTTAAATTCTTTATGTAATTCAATAAACGAAATAAAAAATGCTACATTATTTTTCCCAATTATATCAAAATTTGCAGCTTATTTAATACTATTTAATCGTCCATATTAACTAATTTTTAAATTTAATGTCTTAAAGATTAGTATTCTATAAAAATAATCAAAATATTAATTTGACAATTTGTTATCACATAATTAACTACCCAAATTATTATCTTGAGGTTTCTTGTTATAATACATTAATTCTGTTTTTACTTGACAGTTAGTGATTACTTAATAGTTAAAATTGTTTGTAGATGATTTCTGTAGTACATTAAGTGAGTTTAAAGTTTTCATTGTTTGAACACATTATACTTATTATGATATTATTGCAAATATTAGCTATAATGTCAATAATTATATTTGCTTTAGCTCCTATAATTTGATATGTAACCGATAATGCAAGGATTCAGTAAGTAGCATAATCTAAATCTGAATAATGAATTTGAGCATTGTAAACAGCATTATAAAGCAGTGACATATGTATAAGATTCCAAATTGTTGATAAATCTGGAAAACTCGAAAATATGTATCATAATCTAGAAGAGTAGGTAAAACTAAATAAAATATAATTGATATGTTAGAAAAAAAAAAGAAAAAAAGAAACTATATTATAAACCCCCTTAAATACATTAATCATTTTATAAAGCTGCAAAATTCTTGTTAACTCTAAAAGGCAAATGAAAGTTCAATACTTAACAATTAAAAAAAAAAATCAATTTCTACAAATATATACAATTTAAATTATAGGAAAATGAAGGTGATAAATATTTACAAAACAAATACTCACTTAAATGTGTTTAATTTTAACGACTGAAAACCATTAAACACAAAGACTTTTTATGTGAAATTCCGACATTAATTAATTATACTAAAATAATTATTATATTTTAAATAATGCAATAATAGATTGAATGAAAGTGCAACAAATAACATTTGAACAGGTTTGAGAAAAATTATTGATGACTGGTAAAACAACTAACTTCCATTTAAGTTGATAATATTAATAATAAAAATATTAATGAAAGTTTCTCCACTGAAATTAAAAACTTAAAATGAACATTTAAAATATTGATTGCATATATTTTTTATCAATTCTATAGTTTAATAACATTCCCTATTTCTTCGATTCTAACTTAAGAACAGACAAATATTTTATATTTATATATAGTAGTGAAATGTAAATGAAAATTAATAAATAGTAATAAAAAATCACATACTTTGTCTATTTTTTATAGAATTCAAATCTTCCTCAAATATTTGATCAGTACCATTAGCAAAAGCTTCAGCAGTGGCACAATATCCGTGATGTACTAAGTAGGCTGATACCATTCTATAAAAACAAATTTATTTACATTATTTTCTTAGAAAATATTTTATTTTTAAAATTCATAATTATGAGTCTTTCAAAAGTACACTATCAACAATAAAAATGATTATTAGAACATAATTTCAATAATGGATGATTTATGGTATCACAGAAATTTAATCCAACACTTACTTATGTAATATATTTTGCCATTGCCCTTGACCATGATCAAGCATGGGATAATTAATTATTTGAAGTCTTGTGCGAACTCGTAATTCGCTTATCATATCAGATATATCAAATACAAATGGAACTTGACCAAAATTAGCATCAACTACTTCACCAGGTGTTTGTAATCCAACTGTTGGGTATAAATTTGGCTGAAAATATTTACATGATATATATTATTTAATTGACAAACTGATTTTTAAATTATTATATTTAAAATATTGTTAATCAATACCAAAATAAAATAATTAATTAATTAATTAAAAACAAAATTTTAATTAATTTACTTATCGGATATCATTAAAATATTTCCAAGTAAATAAAAATATTATATAATTTTTATAAAAATACGCATTTGTAATAAATTAACTTTATGTATATAATTTAAGTTTTTATAATATATAAAAATAATTAAGTACACAAATACCTTAAAATAAAAGGCTCTCATTAGAAGTCTCACAATAAAATGATAAAAAAAACAATAAATGTGACAATCGGTAATACAAGATACGATTCTTTGATTATACTGCAGCAAAGTTATTTCTATAGTTACATCAGATTATAATTATTACATTTACAGATAACACGAGATTCTAACAAAGACTAGTCCATTCATCATGTTTGAGTTCCTGTTAAATAACAGAACACAATGTCTAGGAATTGGTAAATTAAAGAATTGTAAACGAAAATGGAGGTTATTTTCATATACAAATTGGCATTTTATTTTTTAATAGTGGTATGTTACACAATATCGACACAATCATAGTATTGACTAACTACCTAATCCTATTCTTACTAACAACAGAGATAAAAGTCTATAACTTTGGTAAGAATAATGAGCCATATTAAAATATGCATATTTAATTACATTATTAAATTTCCTATCTTGATTATTAATTATAATAAACTAAATTTAGTAAATACTTAATTGAGTAGATCAGAATGTGTAGGATAAGTCAAAACAAGAAAGGAAATTTACAATTTTTTTTTCATTCCATATATGTTATATTATTATATATAAAGTCGATTTAACTACAATAATACCTCGACAACTACGTTAACAGTACCCATATAGTATTACTAAAATTCTACTGATGTTCGCACAAGTTTTATATGCTACCTATGAGTCTGATTTTATGCATAGAGATAAGTTCACTTACCGTATTATCTTGACTGTATAACATTTAGTTTGTTCAGATATTACAATACATTTAGATACTCCCCTATTTTTATACATCTTGTTGCAAAATATAAAAAACTATTATCTACCATTATTTACATTTTATTTATCTTACTTGTGCATTATTTCACAGTTACATTAGAATAGCTTATAATATTATTTAATGTACATAATAATATTTACAAACATAAATTTATACTTAAATTAATTTCATATCAGAGAATACATAATCTCTAGACTCACATTCAATTTGAATTGCAATTGGTATGCTGTACAAAAATTTATGTAGATAAATTTAATTTAATATTGATTTATTACTTATCAAAGTTTTTAAATATTGTAAAGTAAATGATACATTAGCCATATTCATCCATTTATTAGCAAACGGCAAATAGATGTGCAACTGTATAATATTTCAGAATACATGAAATTTCAATATTTTTATGAATTTATTTAATTAAAAGTTTTGAAAATATGTCTTATCGATAATACCATCAATAATCCAAGTTAGCAATTCATTTGTTCTATAAGTACTTTGTCAAGTGTTTTTGCACAGTTGGTATAACTTAATAATCCTTTTTTATATACAATTAATTTTAGCTTACCATATATTTAAGGTTAATTTTTATACTATTAGACATTTACAAATATTATTAAATAATAAATCGAATCAGTCAGAAATGTTAATAAGTAGCTCTAAAGGTAGTAATGTTTTCTAAAAATAAATAAATATTTGTCTTACTTTAAATATTAGCATTTTATTACATTGACTGGAAAATTGAATAAAAATATTGGGATGTTATATTATTAGAAAATTAAAAATATTTATTTTCCAAAAATTATAATCGACTAACTTATTTGTGATCTCCAAATTAAAAATATTTAAAATATTATAATCAAATAAATTAAATTCAAAGAATTCTATTATTAAAGATATTTCTATATTCCTCTAAATATAAACATAAACATTAAAATATGTATGTCCAAGGATTATCACAATAAATTTAAAAATTTAAACTATTTTAGTCTCTTCAAAGTAAGAAGTAATCTTTGTTTCTATAAATAGTTATAGTAGACATTATAATTCAAATTTCTTAAGAGATTTAAAAGGACTTTGTCGATATATACAACTAATTTACTTACAGGTAAATCTGTGAAAGCAATTCCCAAATGATGTCCATTTTTTGTGTAAAATGCTGTGTTGTCAACTAAATTGACACCACAACCAATTATATCACCAGTAGTAAAAGTCGGACCGTAGGGTTGACCAGTACCTGATGAACAAAAACTATGACCGTCATCTCCATGATAACCATAAGAATTTTTATCCCATCCAGGAAGTCTATTAACATTAACACCATGTGCTGAGAGTCCAATACCCATGTAGCCATCTCGGCCTTTACTGACAATTTTAACTTCAAAATAATATAATCCACAAGCAGCTGGAATAGAGTTCGTTGTACGAACGCTGGCAGCATCTTTATGTGTTTTTCCATACCCTAAAAGCATGTAAATAATTTTTTATTCTTAATAAAAAGAATCACAGAATGAAGTTCCTAATTTTTACATCTAATTATAAACAATGTAAAATATAAAGGATAGAACAAACCATTTTTTAAATTAGTAATCAATATTTTTGTAGATTTAACTTTACGTTTCTTATATTTATTTATTTATTTTAGAGTTATAACGATAAACTTTTTTTCATCAAAATAAATTTATCAATTCTGTTTATCAAATGAATTAATAAAAATCTTATTAATCTTTTCACATTTTCAACATTATTATTATAAAATACATAAAAGATTTAACAATTTAATGGTTCCTTGTATTTTTTATCAACCTTCTTTTTTATTATGAATTTTTACCATATCATCAAAAAGTAATCTTATTTGCAAATAATTTATACTGTTTCATTTTTGGTAAAATAAATATAATATATTTCAATAAACAGTAAAATATTGATAATACTATATACTAAATCTAATTAATATGAGATTAAGGAAGATTTGAAAAAATGTTATCAACTATTATCTTGTAAATACCATTTCATATAAACTACCTAAGTGATGTTAATGCACTTAAAAAAAAAGCTACAGAATGTTTGGTGTTGAAGAAGATATGTCACATACAAGAATTAATCGATATACAGTGTAATAAATAACTAAAAATGCAAAACATGATTTTATTTGCCTTTTTATTAACTTATAATTCATAAAAATTGATTTTTTTATACAATTGTATCTATAATATAAATAGTTATACTCTTTAAAGTTAAACAATTTTTCAATGGTATCAAGAAAGACGAACCTTCTATATATTGCACCTGCAAACAATTATACATTGTTTCCTGTGATGCACTAAGGCCAGTGTTTGTATAAATATGGATTTAAAAACTAATAATATTTAAAATAAATTTATTGATTAAATAATTTAAAATTGATTAAAAATTTAGAATTTTAAGAACCAATTTATTATAAAAATAATCTTCAACTATTCCCTGTTATTGTTTAAAAATATGAAAAGGTTAAGCAAATTAAATTTTCTTAAAAATATTATTTTGTTATTTTCTGTTATTTTATTCTCTTATTAAATCAAAATAAATTCAAAATTAGTATTAATAAAAAGATTTATAATGATAAGTATTTAGTTTGAAATTCATTAAAAAGTTTATATCATTTTTGAGACTTCAATTATACCCCTTTATATTGTAAAAATACTTGAGCATTATTTTACAAAAACTCGAAATTTATAAAAATTTTGTATACATTATTCTGTAAAATATTGAACATTATTCATATTAATAACTCATGTAATATAATTATTATAAAAAAATCTAGTACTTTTCAAAAATTTATTATTTATTTTAAAAGAATTTTTATTATTGTATTCTAAATATAGATTTAATAACAATTCAAAATAGTCCCTTAAAATTCTTATAAAACATTACTATTACTATAAATATGAATTAAATAAATAATTATTTTCATGGCCTATTGAGATATCAATATTTCCTTAATAGTTTAATGATTTTTATTAAATATATTATTACAAAAAATTTGATAATCAAAATAATATCTTCAATTCTTATTGTTATTTTATACAAAATATAAAAATCTTTTAAAATTTGTATATTTATAATATTTTTATCAAATTAATTTTATTACTTTTGTTATTTATTATATATATACAGACATATATATATATATATATATATATATATATATATATATACATTGAATATATATAATAAACTGCATGTAATAATATATGTAAACCAGTCAAATTTTTTAATTAAAATATAGTATAAAATAAATAAATAACTATTTTTAATACTAAATATTTATATCTATGTTAAAATTGATTACATCGAAATTATAAAACAATAGAACAATAAGATAATATTAAAAAGATTTACTATTAATCCTATTATTATTATGTTTAATAAGTTTTATTTTTTGATATTTCAAATTTAATGTTTATTTTTTTATAGTATTAAAATTAATTTATAAATTATATTTTACTTTTAATATTATATAAATCATAGGATCTATGTTTTTAGAATTTAATTTCGAAATAATTCTAGAATCTTTATAAATTCTTATTTATTTAAGAAAGGTTTTCTTATATGATTTGAATGCTCAATACAAATTATTTTTATTTAATACTTTTTGCATAAATATGTTTATTTTAGTTAAGTTATTGAACGTATATATAGCCATTAATAAAAATAAAACCAAAGCTACAATAATTAGATAAACCAATTACTCATTTTATATTATCGCAAAATAAATCAATAGTGGAAAATAAAATGAATACATTAAGTACCTTTATAATGAACTCGGAGATTATTTTGTGAAAGACCAATATAATTATATTTATCCTTTGAACTCCATGATCTTGGTAAAGGTGTTTCATCTTCATTTACCATAGGATATAATAATTTTAATCGATCAATTGCCTGATTTTGTGCTGAATTTACTTGAGATAAATCCATAACCATACGTTCATCATTAGAGTCCGCCATCATAGTCATCTTCTTCACTTCACTTTTTATTCACCTGCGAATTAATATTAAAATATCTTTTCTAATGTTATATAATACATGTTAGCAGAAAAGATTATAAATTTACAAATAACACTAATTAATTATTCTGTTTTCTTATATAATAAATTTAATAAATTTTTATTATAATTAAATTCATTTTTACTATTTCTATTAATTATTAATATATTCAGGTTCATTTTATACGGGTCACTACACAATTGAAAGAAACGGGGACAGAATAAGAATAAAAAAATGTAATTCTACAGGTAATTTTATTATTAAAAAAATAAAGATAAAGTTTTATTATTTTTTAATTTAGGCAAATCAAAAAATAAAAAATAAAATAAAAAATTAGAGTTAAACTATATATTATGAAAAATTCAAATAATTCGTTTAAATATATTTTGAAATAATAATTATTAATATTGAGATCGTAATTTGGTAAGAATCGCATTAAATTTGTTTAAATCGTATTATAAATTATGTGGCACTTACGGAGTATCTCTATAATTTTTAGACATCACATTTATCGCTGCATAAAATTCAATCAATAGAAATTTTATTCAATTAAATAAATAATAAAAATTAATTTTATGTAAATGATCATTTTCTCTTATTTTCAACGATTTAAGTTAATTTAATTCAATTTAAGTTAATTATTGATTATAAAATCCCCTACAAAAATATTTACAAATCAGATATTAATATTATTATCGATGATTTTTTCAGTTAAACTAACATTTTATGCATTATTTATTTGCCATAATTAAATAAATCATGTAAGCATTTTCGAAAAATTAAAAAAAAACAAGCTCTCTCACGGTTATTTTGTAAACATTGATTCGGCGAATTTTTGTAGTCTACAATATTTCCGCCTAGCAACGTCGATTGAAAATTCTCAAACCTTCCAAGGCAATTTCCTTCTGGACTTCTCGAATATTCTGGAACTTAATTTCTGACGTCTTCAAGACGTTCGGCCTAGCAACAAGCCCAAGCATTGTTGCCAGCGTTGTAAGTTGCAACGCAATATTTAAGAGCAGTTCGCCACGCACCTTGGCTCACTGTATTTTTATGTATGTATTATTCAGTCATCAGTTATTGCTTGCTCACTGTATTTTTTCTTAGTTATTATTCAAACTGCCACGAAACTCCACCCTATAACAGTCAATCAGTTCTACTAATATACCAAACATACTTCAGACTCAACAATAATAAAAACGTAAACCAACAGCGAAGCCAAATAATTCATAACTAATTTAAGTGCGTCACAGTTAATCAGTCGAGAGTGATGACTGCATTTCAAGAATAATTATTAAATACGAAGCGCACCACCTATGCATTATTTCCGTAAAATCTCTGTATTTACCGTCATTGTATTCCGATCTATTATCGGTATAAAAGGCACTAAACCATCACTGCGATCGGATCTCGAATTAAAAAATTGAAAGTAAAAATTGAAACTTGAAGCGTGTGTATTTGCATTCGAAATTTAAACCTTGAACATTTGAAACGTGATACTTAATATTGAAACTTAGAAATTGAAACTTGAAAATTGTAGTTGACACTTGATTTGGCTGCTATAGGCACTCGAAGAGTCAAAATTAAAACTTGAAAATTAAAACTTCTGTATTAAACGTCGATGCATTCTGGGCTGCTCCCTGGATTCAGGCACTAAGACGTTACTGTGATCAGAGTTGTACTTCGGAATAAGGGTCATACGTAGCACTATATAAGAAGTGTGAAGGATTTACGCCCTTGTATTTCTCAGTGTAGGAATTTCCACCAAGCACACTTCAACAAGAGGACCCGGAGCTTTACAACCTTCACATTGACTTGCAGTGAACGCTATTTCCATGTGAAACCACTAAGGAGAAGAGACCCCACACTGTCTCAACACCACAACAACTCAACAACACCTTTGAATTATATTATTGTGTAATTTATAAATAAATAAAGAGAAAAAATGCCAAGATACTCTATGTGTTAAATATTGAATTAATGCGCCATTCCCTTCCAGTTGCCAACAATCCTCCGACCGAACATCACTGGGAACTTTTTAGTCTAATCCTAGATAATAAAGAATATTTAAAAACAAACAGTTTATAGCTTGCTATTAGAAACAATGTTAAAGCACTTGTTTATGTATTTATATTTAAAAAATAAACCTACATTATTTGTGCTCCAAGTGTATAGGTGTTGTTTATAAATTCTTTTTTAATTGAATTCTCAAAACTGTTAAACTTCATAAAAAAAATTTAGTTAAATATTCTAGCAATTTATTCAAATCAATTTTTGAAATTTCGTTATTCAAAAAAATATATTTAATTTATAATAAAAAAATGACTATTTTAAATACACTTAAAATAGATATGATACGTTTAATTATTTTTAAATGTAAACATACTACGCATTGATATTTGAAAGTAGTGAAAAAATAAAAATAATAATTCAATATTATAATATCGCTATAGTTCGTATATTATCGTCATAACTCGTTATAATTTATATATGTCTACAAAATTAATTAAATCACATCTAACAATAAAATAGACTATGAAAATCTCATGATATGTAACGTAAAAATGTTTCTAACAGTATCCTTTTGTTAATATTATAAGTAAGATTAAGATTCAATAAAAATATAATTATTCATCTATTAAAGTTACATTTACATACCAAAATCATAATTGAGTATTTATTGAAAAACTTTGTAAAATTCATATTTTAATATGTTGACATATATTAGTATTTTGTAAATGTAATATGATCGAAGTAACAGAAAATATATAAATAAAATATAAAACAAAAGAATTTTAGAAATTTATTACTCCAATTATTAAAAAGTAGATGATAGAACATTAGATTTGGTACTTTTTATTACATTTTAATATTGACTTTCACATATATAATAATCTATTTTATTAAAATAATAATTTACATACTTTAAAATATTTTTTTTAATAATTTGTGGGATTTTCCTCCATACTTATTATTTCTTGATATATATCAATAACCACAGATGTTTCATTTCCACTTTCATATTAAAACTGCAATCAATTTTGCATATCTTTAGTAACATAATAATAAAGCCTTCAACTTTATCACAATTTTCATTCGGAGAAAAATGTAGATTTTGCTATTTTAGTTTGATTAATTAAAAAAAGAATGAAATTAAATAAACATATAAACTCATAATAATAAAATATTTGAAGACTACAAATAAATGCGAAGCTTCAGTTTACAGTTTGATGTGCTATATAGTATATTTAATTATAAGTTAGTAATAAAATATTAGTCTTTGATATATATATATGTATATACAAGAGAGATTTAATATGTTAGTTATAAGAAAACTGAAAATTATATAATGACTGAATTATTGTGAAATTATTATATTTTAATAAATTATTATTATAGGTTTAATTAAAACTACATTTCGAAGTTCAAAAAAAAAATTTTTGAATTTATTTAAAAAGAACCATATTTTTCAATAAGAATCGAATTTTTTAATCCTTGTTTTGTACTAAAACATGCAGAATTTTCTTCTAATTATATAAATATCGAGATCTTATTATATAATTAAAATATCGAGAACTAGCCAAGCACTATAAAAGTACATTATATTGTTCATATTACACAACATTAAGTAAAAATCTAATACCAAAAAATATTACTACAGCATATGAATTACAGTAAAATAAATATACAATTATAATAAATTAAGTATACCTATGAATGCATAAATATTTGTCTAATTCACTTTTATGTATATAGAATGCACAAAATTATCCACAAAATTCAACAAAAAAACAATGAAGAATCATATGAAAGAATTGTGTCAGAAACAGAACAAATTAAGAATTTGTTATTACAAATAAAAATTGTTAATGATAATGAGATATTTTTGAGTTACTTTAAAGGTTCCTAAACCAAAGTACCTGTCTTAAAATTATTATATATAAATAGTTTATAATGAATTATTTTTGAAATCAGTCACAAAGGAATATTATGTATTTAATCCTTCGGATGATATTACTCTTTTTGTTAAAACTGTTTACATAATACATATTCTAAACAAATTTTTTAAGTTGTGACTATTGGACTTTGTCTTAAATATTTGTGGTAATATATCAAATAGTAAATTAAAAGAAAAATATTAATATTAATATTTGTATAATATGTGGATGTAGCATCTTTTAGGAATTTGTTATTTTATACAAATTTCATATATATTTTACGACTTCAGTTTGTAAGATTTATTTCATATTGTATTCAACTCTATACATTATCTGAAAAATACCGACACCCTACTAAATAGTTAGCGTTTTTTTAAAATCGACCGTGTTAATGTTTTCTTTGCATTTAATAAAATAAACAATATTATTATTTGAATACTTAAAAACTTTTCTTTTCATTGATGAAAAAAATAATTCTATATTATTATATCTAATATTAACTTGTGAATCTTATCTCTATAACATAACATATATAAATTTCATATCATGTAGAGAAAATTTAAATGTCAATTTAATTTTAATAGACGAATCATCCTTATAATCAGAATATAATAAAAATCATCTTTATTATTAGAATATTAATAGAATATAAATTAAATTACATACTAGAATTCTATATATATCGTTTAAATAATTATTTTCAATTCATGCAGCATCAGTACATAGATTTTTTTAATTAATTCAATAAATTACCAAAAATTGAAATAAGCAAATTATTGATGGAATCTTAATTCAACAAAGTTTTAATAAAAGTAATCTATGTTAATGCTCTGCCAAATCAAATTTTTAAAAAATTCAATTAATTTATTTACAAAACTAATTACATATAAATTGAATTGTACATAAATTATACTTATTTATAGTATTAATAATGTTAACATTAAAGCAGATTTTCTATTTATAATTATTAAATAACTTCATTAATTTGAATTCTATGTATAATCAGACACAAAATTAATTTCTATTATACGGACCTTAGATACTTCAATATTTATTCTGATATTCATACACTGTACAAAAGTATAATTACAATATGTAAATATATAAAATAATACATTTATTGATTTATAATATAAAGTAGAATTTTTGATATGATTAAGGTATATCTACTTCTTACATTGTTTTATTTTTGATAATTTTTTATATTTTTGTTCTCAAATGTTTTCATATTACAATGATAAGGTTATATATATATTTTTAATACTTAATAAGAATATATTTTTCATTTTAAAAACTTGCAGATTTTAACAGATTAGTTTTATAATTTATAGAATTTTATTCATAATTTAGTGAAATATAAAAATCTAAAATTATATTTTATTTTATACATTAGTAAATGTTCTTTATGAAAATACAATGTAAAAAAGCATATATATCATACAATTAATAAACAATTACTAATATTACATACCTGAATTATATTAAAGTCATTATAAATCTTAAATTTCTTATAAATTAGCCTATTATAATTGAAGAGGCATATTATAACAAAATATATTTAGTATCTTATACTTATAAAACTATTTATTTATTTTTACAACCTTATGAACATAATTTAATTGCATCATTCATTAAAAATAATTAAAAATTGATCAATATGTTTTAATTTTTTAATGTTGGAAATAGTTCATAATCTATCTTGAATTTATGCAAATTCTGTTATGAATATTATAAGAGCTTTAAAGTTTTTTTTCTATCGAAGAGCAAGTAATTTTCCTTTTAAAGAGTAAGATGTGTGGTTCTGAAAATAAAATTGTTAGTTTATTCAATACAAATTCATATATTAGAAGAATATACTTAATTAATGAAATGAATTAAAATATCTTAAGCATTTTCTGCAGAAAAATAATAATTTTAGTATTTATTAACTTAAGAAGTTATTCATAATTTATGCTTATGTAGTAATAACAAAGTGCACTGTCAATTCAAATCTTGAAAATTGACAGATAATATAATTAATTACTTCATAAATTATATGTTAAATATTTAATACTATAAAATGATTATTTAATAGGGATACAAATGGATTATCTACAAATCATAAATATATTAAATATATAGGAAAAAAACAAAAAGTTTAATAGATAAGATGATAAATGTATTGTAGAAAAATTGAAAAAATTCTATAATGTTATAATTATTTTGCAAATAATTTAAAAATCTGACATAATTATTATAATAAATGATCAATATATTTATAAGAAAATGACCTAAAATATAATACAGTACAATTTTTAATTAATTATACAAATATAAAAATATACAAATTTTTATATAATGGAAAAAAAATTGATGTATTATTGTTTGGATAAATTTGTTATATATACATATAAAGCTTGCAACTTTTTTATTTATTTCTATAAATATAAAGTATAAAGTTAAATGTAATACTTTATCGTCACCTTTTATTTCATTGCTTTTATTGATATTAAAATTTCAATTACTATTTTTAATTACTCTGTTCTTCATTATCATTTTCGTGTATTGTATTATTAATACTTTAAATAGTTTTTAATGCATTAAAAATCTTACATATTACATTATCTATAATTTTTTAATATTTATATCTTAATACAATTTAAAATAATCAAAATTATATGATGCAGAATCAAGCTAATTGTAGTAATTCGATCTACTTACTATCCATAGTAAATTTGTAACAATATTATGACTAAATCAAAAGCTATATAAAGTTGAAAATTAAATATTTCTAATTATAATCTGGAAGTATACATTTTTTTAATACAGCGCGTAAGTTACGGATGAGTTTAACAATTGTGAATATTGGAATATTTCAGCTGTAAAATTAATGCGTTATTTATACAACCTTTTTTTATGAACTTAAACGATTAAATGGTTGATAATATAAATAAAATGTTATTTTATTTTTTTATATTTGCTTCTTATTTGTTTATACAACTTTATAATCAAATTAAAAATTTTTCTCTTAATTATCAAACGATAAAGTATGTATTTATAGATATTTATTCAATAAATATTGATATAATAAACAGTTAAGATTTGTTGATTGTTTAAATAAAATATTAGTACAAATAATTACGTGACTGTTAATAAAATCAATACTGGACATAATATGGACGGAGGGATATAAATATAATCTGTTAACTTTCATGTTGATTATACTGAAAGTATAAATTTAAAGTAGTCATAATAGCATATTTAAAGATCACATATGCACAAGAAATCGAAAATTTAATATATAAGTTTGAATGAAACTTATTCGAACTTCATGATAAATTTAACACATTTACATATAACACATAACAAAGTTACTAAAACATTTCTCTGTTTGAAGGCTGGAATTTTTAAAGCACAAAAATTTCTTGAAAATCATTCATCAATTTTTATTAAACAGTATTGTAATACAGACTGAAAGATTTAGTGTTAATAATTTAAATGAGATTATTTTAAATAATATTTTCCTTTTATAGTAAAACCAGTGAAAAATGCAAATTTTTATTCTATTGATTTCTATGAAATTTGAATTTTTTTAGAAAATTGATTTTTAAAGATTTTGTAATGAGTTGTAATTAATTCAAAAATTCTTCAAAGATAATTTCAAATTAATCTTATGATTTTATTAGTAATTTCTAATTGCAATAGTAATGAATAATTAAAATAAATTTATATATGTTTGTGTGTGTGTGCAGGTATTATCTTATTTTACTATGGGTATGCAACATTAGATAAGGAATAGAATTTCACAGATAATCAAGCAGTTAGATATTAAAATTTACTTTAAATTCTGTCAAAATATTTCGCTTTGTTGTTACTTACGATGAATTTTGTTAATAAAATCGAATTTTTTTATGTTAAATTAAATATTAATATTTAAAGATCTAAATATACGACTTTTAAATTTACTAATAGAATAATTAATAGTAGTCGATATTTATTTGGTTGTGATTTTTTACCTTTTATATATGTTAGAAATCGTTTAATAATTTATGTTAATAACTTAATAATCATTTCGAATTTGAACATATATTTTTTTATCCAAACAAATTTTGCATTTTGCGTTGTTGTACTTCGAATTTTTTATTTGCTGTTTAAAATAGATGAAGTTGCAAATTTTCTAATGATAATCTAGTAATATATAAATTCTTTAGTTACTAAAACTGATAATACACTTAGTTATATAATATATATTATTGATAATAAATTATATTAAAAAGTAATAATCAATTATGTTATATTTCATTACAAATAAAATTATCTAATTATATAATGCATAATCTTTTATTTAAAATAATAAATACAGTAACGTATTATACCTCTAAGTATTCATCTCTTCATTGAATTTAATTAATCGTATTAGTAACTTGTTTTTATCTTCCTTTCCCTTAGACCTCTTTTATTAGATACATTGTTGATAAATTTCCTGTGGAATAATTAGATTCATAATAAGTTGTGATAAAATTTTTATAAAAACATTTTTATTTGTATTATAATACATTTAGACCATTGAAATATACCCGTTTGCAAGATATTCTCAAAGATATTTGTATATATGTAATGATTAGAATATAAGTTTAAGATCAGGAGCTATTAAATATGAATTCATAATTTAGAAATATTGAAAGAACTTTTATAGATAAGTATTTTATTTTAATACAGATTACCACAGAAGAATGAAATTAACGAGTTTAATTATTAAATTAACTCATAAAACAAAAATAAATATTTAAGTAGTAAAAACAAATTTTTAAATTTCTTTGAATGCAATGAAATATATGTTTAGTGTTTTTGCTATACACAATCTTTTACATTTCAGCACAAATATATTATAGAGAAGTAATATTTATAAATTTTTTAGTAAATAGCAATTTTTTCTCTTTAATAAAATTTAACTTATTAATACTATTCGAAATTGTAAGAATATTCCCAAGTCATTAAACATCTCGAAAACTAGCTATTAGAGTTCCGAAAAATCAAGTCGTTAAGCATCTGGAAAAAACAAGTCATTTAAAGTTGTGAAAAAAAGTCATAAAAATATAAGGAAAAAACCACATCGCTTGACATCCGGAAAAAGGGTATTACAGGCAACATTTGCAACGCATACGCATAAAGCATACGTTGTTGTCAAACCCAGCTACATGTGGCTTGGATAGTGAAGTGAGAACGCGCCAAAAAAGTCCCCCTTGTGGTGGGGATGCAAGTAAGTCAATTAGATTGGAGACGCCTAGAAAGAGGCGCTCTGATTGGAAACGCCAAGGAGGCTATTTGTAAAGACCACACGGTGGTTGAAAATGCCTTTCAGATGCCCGTAAGGCGCAACTGCTTCTTCTCACAAAAGAAGCCGGCAAGACTTCTTCTCAAAAGGAACGCCATAGAACAATGACGTAGACATACACAGTAAAGGCCAATAATTAAGAGAAGAATAAATAAGAAAAGGAAAAGGGAACAAGAAACCAGTGGTGCATTGAGCACAACATAATCATAACCTATAAGGAGCCGTTGGAGGCAAATTCAGCAAACAATATCAGGTATAGCCAGCAAAACACAACACAGAAACTACAAGCTGCCGCACGAGGCAAAGCTTTCAGACATCACGAGCACAAAATCTGCAGAACTCACAAGGTAAAAGTTCCATTCCTGAATAACGATAATAATACACAATATGCTAAGCTCACATAATCTGCAAACACATAAGGGGCAAGTTTAGTTTTCACAAGATAGACTTACGAGGCAGCGTACGCGGCAATATATATGCAGACCAAGATGAAGTGCTACCAAGAGCACACCTGCAGAGCAAACAAGGTAAGCAATAAGCCAATAACAAAGCAAACTCAAGCTACTGCCACGTGCCACTACACAAGGAAGCGCGGGGGTGTACGACTTTGTTCTTCTACGTGTACAACTCCATCACCACGTGCATTACATATAGAGAACCAGAAAAGTTACGACCTTCTACCTGTACATGCAATGCACATCACCGCTCTGTGACAATAGTAATCCAAAACTCAAGAAATGAAAACATTCAAACATCAACTAAAAATCATTATAATACAACTAATGCAATTATCGCAATAAACTACAACAAACAACGAAACTATTTATTATTGAATACATGCCTTATCCTGTCCACTCGCCCGCAATCCAGCCATCAACCATCTGGGAGTTTACACCTAACTTTAGATATTTGGCCCTCCTCGTTCGGTACTCTATTTTTAGACATGTACTATCATGTAATGAATGCGAAGATTAGTATTATAAATTACATGAAATGATATACAAAATAAGCATTATGCAAGATATGGGACTAATAAAAAAAGATAATTATCTTTTGATCTGCGTCGACAATTTAAATGCAAATATTATGCATAGAAAAACAAAATTAAAAATAGTAATTAAAAAAAGTAAAAAGTAAAAAGACACTAAAAGCATAGCAGCAATTATTGACAAAGAATAAAAATTTTCAAAATTATAAAACTGCTAAAATTATAAATAAGAGTCAGTGAGTAAAAGTTTAATTAAAATTTAACAAAATTTCGAGTTTATCTTTTTTCTAATCCATTTTTAGTAGCATCAGAAATATAATTTTTATTTATAAAATGGAAATTCTTAGATACCTTTACGTAATCGGGAACTAGATATACTATGAAAACTTGCATACAGCAAATAACATTAAGAAGGGCATATTGCACATATGAAGACTACTTATAACGGTATATAGGTAAAAGAAAGACTTGCTTAAATACTTCTTTGAAATTTTTAATTTTAATAATTGTGTTAACTGAAATAATTAAATGCACTATATTTGGATGGCGTATTTTTCAATTTTAATTATTTTTATCTAGTATCACAAATGTTAAGTTAATAGTTTTATCATACATACTATTAACAGTAAATGTTATATAATAAATTGACTGTGAAATAATTAAATTAATAAGTGGTGATAATGTTTATAATCATTACAAATCATTTTTCTTTTCGACTCATTCTTTGCACCGATTAAAATTTTATTGACTATGTGGTGGAAACACATTTATGATACACAAGTACTTTTGGTAGATAAGTATTGGAGAAAGGAAATGGGACTAACAAAAAAAAAAAAAAGCTCAGATGGAAGTTCTTCACGATATCTATAATATGAGCACTTCTTATATTATTGAAGTTTCTAAATATTCATTGACTGATCCGCATAATTATTTTAGTAAAATAATTATAATAACAATAAGTATCGCGTTGGAAGTTAATATCATAATTTTTTAAGTCCACACGTTTAAAATATACAAGCAAAGTAATGTGCATATTATGTTTCTGATTAGCAACAATAACTATTGTAAATTTTATCCAATATTTTTGGAAATTCTTTGCTTTATTGTTAATAATCTTGTAATTGTTTTTTTTTCTCGAAGTATTATTAGTATAATATATATATGTTTCAAAACTTTCAAAATTTTTTAACTGCCATTATTAATTTTTATATGTAAATATACTTTTGATTATATATTTGACAAAATTTTTATGACCAAGTCTATATACAAGTAAGTTTTTACCTTTTTCCTTAGATAGTTTGCTTAACAAGTACAAATATATATTATTTATGAGTTAAAAAATTATTAAGTTAAAATTTAGAAAATTTTTGCTTTTACTATTATTTATTAATTTTTAATTGTATTCTTGATAAACGCAAATTATATGCTATTAAAATTCATTGTTTTTCTTATATTAAAATATTATTCAATTATACTTTTTAGCATTAAATTTAATATTTTTATTTTTTTATAAGTTCCTCATAATATTAAATATAATCAATACATTGTTTAAATTCAAACAGTGTATATATTCATTCGTGCATGATGAATTGTACCACTATATTTACACTTTTTTTTTAAATATTGAAAAATGTCTATTTCTGTTTATCCAGATTTAGTTATTTTGCTTTCTATTTAACCGTAAATAATAGCAATTATGCAATAACATGAAGTTTTAATTATTATTGGAATGATATAAAAATATTCGCATGAAAAAGTACCAACAATTATAAGCATGAGCCTTTCTATTAATGTTAAAGCAAGGTATAAAGGTTTGATCGTTTGCTTATTAATTAAAAAATAATCTGATTTGAACGATAATAAGTATTCATTGTTATTCATAAACATTTTTATGAGTGAGAGAGAGAGAGAGAGAGAGAGAGAGAGAATTATAATGAAGAATTATATAGAAGTATATTTTATTATCAATTTCATGCTTGAATTATTATTTATAGTATTTTATATTAAATTTTGAAAAAGCTCTAAAACTGCCTCAAAACAAAAAAGAAGTGAAAAATTGTTGGTATTCAAACGAAGCATCGTGAAATATAATACAATTACACTTAAGATTACGAGTAAAACAATGTTAATGTGAATCATTTTCACAACCATGCAAATGAAGTCAGTTTATGGGCATTTTTTAACTTTAACTAAAAAAAGGTGTAATCAGAAAAATTTTGCAAAATCAAGTTCAAGGTAAAGATCCAAACTGATAAAAAATTAATAGAGTGGAATGAAATTTCCCTCCTTATTACGTTCTCAATAAAAAGCCAGTATGAAGAGTGATATTTTTTTGTTCGTCATTTGTATAATTAATAAAGTATTGTAAAAGAAACCTCAGATTTGAATAGGTAATAATTTAGTTTTTAACTTTTGACACAAAAAAGTCTCGAATATTAATAAAATAAATACATACACATGCACACGCGTGCGTTGAAAAACAATATATAAATTGTATATTTATTTACTAATTTTTGTTTACAAAACCAGTGTTTAGTTGAAAGCACATAATATCGAGAATTATTTCTAAGTTATCAATTGAACAAGACCAGATTTTCCCTTTTAATTATAATAAAATACATTCATTTTCTCATAAGCATACAGTACAATGCGATACTGAGAATTGTCGGTAGACTACACATTTATCTAAACTTTAATAATATGATGGTCACAATGCCTCTTTTGTCTGATTTCTTATATATATTTAAATTTGTGCGAGTAGCTCTATAATCAGAGTAATTTGATTTAATTAATTTATAATGAGTAAGTAATAAAAATAAATTATGAGATTGATTAATCCCTATCATGATATATAGAATGATAACGTATTTTCTTAGTCATTGTAGAAAGCATTTAAAAATTAAATAATATGCTTAGTGTTCGAAATAATAGATCGGTATTAATTGAATATTTCTCGTTTTAAAACTGCGCTTTAAAAAACAACTATAAGATTTTTAACTAAAAGTATTTTAATATATACCTTTTAACAAAAGGTTTTAAAACATCAATTTAACTTGTATAAAGAAAAAATATTGGGTATTCTATTATGTAACTAACTTGCTTGTATTTAAAAATATAAACAACTTCGAGATTCAAATTCATAAATTAGATAGTGATTTATATTGAAATTCACGTTAACCAACCAATTTTCAATAAATTTCTAAAAAAGAATAACTTCATTATACTTCTGAATCTTTTTTATTTTATAGAAAATTTAATATTTTCAATATTTAGTCAACGACGAAACACAATTCAAATTTTTTTTTTTTATTAGCAACTTTAATAAATATTAATATATCCATCAATTCAAGTTGTTAAAGGATATTACCATGTAAAATAACTTCAAGAAGAAAATACCAACAAGATTCTCATATTTGAAATTATAATGGTATCACAAGATAGTATTGATATATAATATTAAAAAAATATAATATTGATATATATAATTTAATTTATTATTAAATCATTTATCCATTACTTTATTGAGTAAATAATAATAATATTTTTAAAGTTACATTCTTACATTTAAATTTAAAGCTATCATTATTTTTGTAAATTATGTATAAAATATTAATATCTAGTGATATCAATAGATATTTCATTATACTTTAATACTAAGTTTTAAAATAGTTGTTTTAAGCAAGAAAATTAAAAATGAGTAATGACACATTATTTTTTAATATATTAATATATTATTAAGATTTATGAAAAGATTGAATAGATTAAAAATAAAAGAACTTACAAATAAATAAATAAAATTATTTTAATAATTCTTTCGCGATATTAACTGACACAATATTGCTTACAAAATAAAATATCCCTAATCATAATACCAAACTGTTATAGAGATGTAACATATAATTTATCTACACATTAGTAGTGTCAATGGGATTTTTATGAATTAATTTCTTATATACTAATTCGAAATATTTCACATCTAAGTTAAATTTATTATGTTATGTTATTTTCAAGATCTAGATATGATAGAAGTCACTTCATTTCATTGATTAGTGCCAATATTATTCATTCGAATGTATTTAATGTTAATTATTGTGAACTATATATAATGATCACTGTTGAATTTTACAACAGCAATTGGATTGTTTGGATAATAAACATTACCTGCATAACCTGAATAACGAACATTAACTGCATTTTAAATCAGTTTGATCCACATTGCATTTGAGGTAAAAGAAATGTCAACAAAAATACAACAATTTTATCTTCATTTAAAATATTCTTTCTTTATTTCCAGTAATTATTTTATAACTATATAACTAATATATAATGCTATATAATATATAACTAATGCTATATAATTTTGAAAAAATATACTTTAAAAGGTCATATTAAAGAAAAAATACTTTTACTGATGTAATTTAATAATCTTTCGTAAATTAAACTTATGAAAAACAAAAAATTTAATGAAATCACTTAATAAAATATTTTTATATAATAATAGTAAAAAATAATATTTTGTATTTGACAATAAAAATAATTAAATATCTTATACCTACAAATTCATTCATCTTAACAGCAAATAAAAAATTATTTAGTAAATAATGTAATTACTTGAATACCTATCATTTTTGGATTACAATAAAAAAGAGTATATTAAAATGTACATATACAAAATAATATGTAGTTAATCAAAATGAATGATAAAAGTAATTGAGAAAAATCTGTTACTAATTTACTAATTTTATAATAAACTATATTATAGAAATTATAGATTAATTTTTAAAATAAAAATGTATATGCTAACTAATAAAACTGTAGTCTATTGATTGATAAATATAAATTCAATATAAGAGAAATATATGAAATATTCTATATTGAAATATAATATTATAAGTAATAATTATATGTAATATTTAATTTAATTATTAAATATAATATAAATATGTGATGTTTCATTTGAATGAATTCTCTGTTGTTGCACATACTTAAAACATTCAATAATTTATTTTACATGACACAATGATTATTTTTTATTTATATTAAATTGTTGCATTAGAAAAAATTAATTAATTTATTTAAGATGTTATATATTGTCGCACAATATACTTTATTCTTGATGATCACACAATGTATAAATATAATTACATTATAAAAAACATTACAATACAAAAATTTGAAAATAGTTTACATTAATAAATATACAATAAACATACATTACACTAATAAAGATGCATTTAATTAATTTTTTTTTAAACTGTTACTTTTACAAAAAAGTTACTTGTAAAAAAACTTTTACAACTCTTTAAAAATGAAATGTTATAAATTTATAACAATTAAAAAATATTTGTAATAAAGTGATTATTTATGTTTATATATATATATATATATATGTATAACTAGTTGTTATTATTAAATATTTAAATAGATTTCTTACAAATATAATTTGATACAATTGCTTTAATATTCAATAGCTAAATTATTTTTATCAACTGATAAAACAAGTTGTAAATTTATGATAATGTACTACATAAACACATTTTAAGTTAAACGTTTAAGAAAATAAAGATGATTTAAAAAGAATTTGAATAAAACAATGATAGCTTATTTTATTAAAAAAAAAAAATATATCTGAATAGACTTCAAAGATATACTTAAGATTTTAATTTTATTATATTTTAAGAATTTAATTTTCATATTTCAATCAGTATAAATTAGCTAAAATTACTTATGTATCCAATTTTCATGTCTCTATATTGATTTCTTTTAATAGAATTTATTCGCTAAAAGAAAAAGCTCATACTTATGATAATGATTCTGTTTATAATACTATAAATTAGTTAATTTGTACACTTTTAGTTACAAGCAAGAATATTTTAATTTTTTTACAATTATCAGTTGAAAGAAGTATTACATAGGGTACATTATTGTGAAAGTATAAAATATATAAGATAAAGTATTTTTATGCTTTATCAAAGTTTCTATAATATAATAATAATAATAAAAGTTAATCAATATTAATAATAATTAATAATCAAAGTTTCTACTTGATGCATTTAAGTAACCATGTACCAATTAAATTATCTCTTAAAGTGTATTATAATTAAACCATAACTATGATTTTGTATAAATACAGATTTTACAACTTTAAACTAATGCACTATTAGTATTTTTTATATTTTTGAGATTATTAACTACAGATAAGATTACTATAAGCTATATTATAATAAATAAATGTCTACTAATTTTGACAAATATAATACATATTATTTATTAAGCTGATATACAGATTCATATTTGTATGTGCAAATCTACTTTTACATAAACACATTGCTTAATTCCTGAAGTTTTGTAAATTAAAACAAAAATTAAATATTTCTTTTATCTTTATTAATTTTCTTTTCTTAAAATAACTTTTATTAAAATTATTTTTTTACTATATACTTATAATTTGTAATATATAAATCAACTAAATTAAAAATAAAAATCATAAATTACTAAATGAAATTACTAGCCTAATTAAAATTATTTTGTTATTTTATTATGTTTATTTTACAGTTTTTAACTTAACGTATTATATATTTTTTTAATTTCATCTATTTGGATGGAAAGTGAATGCAGAATAGGTGATAAATACATATAAACATTTATTAGAAATATAAGATAATATGGATACCAGGTTGATGAGTCATATAATGTATCCATCCTTCACTTTGCTGAACTCCAATTGCTCTCCATTCTCGTTCAGACATAAGATGAGTTTTCGGTACAAGTTTTTCAAGTTCTTTTGGTAGTACCACATGTCTAAAATAAAAAAATTATTACATTGTAACTTCAATAATTATTTGTTTAAATTAAAAATTTTCTTCATTTTTTATAAGTATTTTATTATAAAAGATACCAATTGTAATTATGTATAATTACTCTTAAGTGAATAAATTTTTAATATTGATAATGTACTAAATTTATTTACTTTTATGAAATTTCTAAGTAAAAATATTTTTACTAGAAAATATATTAAAATTATTTCTTTTATTTTTTAATTAACTTTTAATTTGATAGATAAAAAAAATTCATATGTAAAGAATATATATTTTATATTTTTGTCAGAAAATATAAAATTTAAACAATAATTCAGCTGCGTTTGTTTTATAAAACATTCTTTTACTTTTCTCATTTTTATATTTTTATTTTTCTTCATAATTGTTTATTTACAAAGTAACAAGATAAAAAATTTATCATATCAAAAATATGCAAAGAATAAGAATGGTATCGTTAACCTGTATTCGTATGCGTCATCATAATATTTATCTGAATAATAAATGCTATTAGGCATTTTCTATAAATTTTTAAAACGAAAATGTATAAATAAATGTACAATATAGAACTATTTTTTTAACGTAACGTTATTTCACCCTTTTTGAAATTTTATAAGTTGGTTAAAAAAATTATTTTTTATACGAAAAAATTAACTGCGCGTTATAAAATTATTAATTATATTTAAAATAATTCGTGTGCTTCTTTGTACTTAAAAGCAAATTTTAATAATATCCTACATATAATTTATACAAATAAATTGTATACATATAAATTATACACTCTGAATTAAAATATTCACTCAATTTCTTTTTATAAATTTTCCAATATTATTCACATTAATTTATAATAATTGTATCTTATAAAAAAATTATATTTGCAATATTCACTACTACATGCACAACATTAAAGAATTTAAATTATTTTTGTATAATACTTTAACATTTTAAACAGTTATGTCAATTTCAAATACTGTATGTGTAGTCTTATTAAGTGAATGTTTTTAATCGTTATTTTAAATTTTAATTATGATTTTAAATACTTAATTTTAAATAAATTTAAAAAAATTATTTGACATGATATAAATACATAAAAACCATTTAGAATTTCATAATAAAATTTGATTTTTCTGTTAAACAAATTCAGTAGAAGGTAATAATTCTTTGAAGATATCAACAATGTCCGACACATTTTGTAGCAATTTCTTTAAGCGAGAATTTTCCTTCTTTATTTCTCCCAATAGTGACTTCGTCATGATTACCATTTTTATCCTACTTTATCCCACATGTTATACACTACATTTTCATCTCAATATACTTTATCCACAATTCCTATCACACTTTCTCTTGAAATTTGATTATTTAATGTACTACCTTTTCTAGTATAAAAATATTTTTCAGTAAAAATTATTACAACCATTAAGAAAATTTGATAGCTACCTTCAATGCATACATTTTTATTTTATTCTTATATATATGATATAATTGATTTTTAAAATAATATATAAGATATAGGAAATGAGTATGAAATAAAGGGTTTGAAAATACAATATATAGTAATCGAAAGTTTAAAAATTGTGAAGATGTAATAATATATTAAAAGGCATTACATATGTATTCAATTTATTAGACACAACATAAATAAATAATTATTAATATTTTACGGAAATTTATAAAAAATGATCCATTGATAATTCAACAAAAAAGTAGAATGTATATTAAAAATTATAAAAACAATACGAATTACCAGTTATGTTACAATGAAATATAATATAATTTAATTTTTGTATACGACTAAATAAATCGTTAATAAGTCTGGCTTATTGAAAATATTTAGAATTATTCTTTTTATATAATGACTAGAACTAGAATTAAATTTTCCTTAAATAATTACTTGAAATGAGATTTTTATATAAAGAGCCGATTATTATTGAGTGGATTTATTTAAAATTTAGTTTCAAATATTAAAAATATAAATATCTGTATAAGCATTTAGTATACTTTGATATAATCTTATACATTCAAATAGAAAAAAATGTAGGGGATACTAAATAGATCGTAATATTTCACTTATTACTCATAGAATATATTATAGACAAATATAATTAAATGTAATATAATAATAAATAAAATGTAATAATCTAATGGAATCTGTATCAATAAGTTAAATTTACTTGTATATTAAAAACTGTGTTTAATCAAATCATTTGACAACAGTAGTTAATAATTTACATTTGCTAATTTGCTATCCTTAAAATATTTATATTCCTCCTTAAAACAATAAGATTTATGAATTAGGACTCGAATTCAAATTTATAGGTCTTATAAAAAAAATTACCATAAAAAAATTGATAATTCATTTAATTTAAATGAATTAACTTAATTAAGATGTTAAATAACCACTCAAATTCTAAGAATAAAATATTAGAAATTATAAATAGGTTTTTTTAATTTTGGCTTGTCTATGAAAATTAGTGATATCTAAAAAGCAATATAAATTAATTAAAACTAGATGTGATAACAAATTTAATTTGCTATAGATATTGCAGTTCTAGAAAATATAAATTAAAAATAAGGAAATAAAAGAATGAAACTTAGATAATTGATGAACAAAACAGAATTTGATAGAAATATATTTTGTTTGGAAGGTTAGTTAGAATGTATAAAATATAAAAAAAAAATACAATAGAGAAATAATTAAATAAAAATAAAAATAACAGTATGTTTTCTAGAATAATTGAAAAATATATTAAAATAAAAAATTTGTAATTCTAAAAACATGCTAATCAATAATTAAACAGATGCTTTTCACTTAGTCTTAACTTCATTGCAATTACTAAAAATTGAAATTAATTCATTTGGATTCCACAGTTAGTTTATGAATTTAAATCTTCTAAAAATAATATGAATGTGCGATAGTTAAGATTTTTAACAGTTAATAAGATAAGTTCCAAATATATTTAAAATTAAAGAAGAAAAATTGTATTCTATCTATAATTTAATGAATTATTAGATATCTATCTTAAATTGACCAATAAAATTTCTATCATATATTAATTTTTTTTGTATCACCGGAATAATAACTTCAATATTCGCAGATCTAAAGGAAACAGATGTTCCAATTTATCATGAAATTAGCTACAAAAAATACCGTAGCACCGTACTATGATGGCAAGTATAGATGTTAAGCAAGGTGAAGTTCACGATAAATTTTTTATATTTTCGATTAGCACAGAGTATAACAATAGTATTACTTATATAAAAAAGAATAGTATCAAAGTAATGTATGGTAATGCGTGTTTAAATTATACCCATTCTAATGCCCTATGGACAGTATTCAATTGAAAATGAAAAGCTCTTTAAAATTATAAAATAAATAACGTATTAATTAAATTAAATAATAGTTATTAATAATTTATTTAATTATTATAAATGTTGTAATTGTTAATCATTATAAATAGATGGATTGAAAAAATTAAAAATTTACATTCAAAATAAAAATTTTTTTTAATTAACAAACAGATCATCCTTGTAATAACATTATATACTTGTATCAAAAATAGATAAAAATTCTTATTATAACTCAAACAAATAAAGAAATGGCGAGCTTAAATTAAAATATGAACTAGATGCACAAGCACAATAAATGCAGAAATGTAAGTAAATCGTTAAAAAATGCAAGTCGAAATTTATGCAGCAAAGAAACGTACTGAACATAAAAACCGCAAATTAAACAAGAAAATTTTAACCAATTTTGTATCTTTGAAACAGATTGTAGAAAAAATTATGATCTCAATCATATTTAATAATTGTAAAGACTTTCAGTAATAAATATAAACATAAAAAATTACGATATTATTACAATTTAAATAAAAAAGTTTTAATTAATCAAAATATATTTAATGGCTGATAGCATGTTCTATCATTTTCATAGATATAAAAACGTTTATACAAAGTTCATTTATAATAAATTTCATTTCAATAATTGATTTCATATTTAAATGTATTTCATTATATTTTTAAATACTAATGAATACATTTATTCTAAATAATTCAAACAAAAATTTAATTATTCTTTATGTGCAATTATATAAATATTCCAGTATCAATCATGTATATATATAAGTAACAAGTATATTTGTTATTTCAGTTATCAATGGACGTAAAATGTATTTCAGGAAACTATTATAATTATTTCCTAATAAAGATAATTAAAAATTAATTTGTTTACGTTATAAGCAATAAATGCAAGAAGTGAAATATGTACGATCTAATATAATTATTAAAATGAAAAACAAGATATCTTACAATTCAGTTATTTTGTATGTAGTTTAATTCTTTATAAGTTTGAAATGAAAAATTGTATTCATTCTGTTGTCTTTTATGTCTGCTATATTTACCTATATATATATATATATATATATTCATCGATAATTATTATCCTTAATATAAGTGTGAATTGTATAATTAAGTAATATCACCGCTAAATTTACCTTATAATAATAATATTTTGAAACTTCCATTGCTATTGAAGAATGCTGAAAATAAAATTACATTGTAAGTTAATTATTTTGTAAATTAGAATGAGGTGACGTAATATCATTACGCATGTGTAAATCAATCAATGCATGTAATAAAAAGTCTAATTTACAAAAAAATATATAATTTTGTTGTATAAAATATAAAAACTATTAAGAATCAGTTTTAATTATTATATTTGATATTACAATTTTTTTTAATATTTTCTAATTTTGTATCTAATAAAAAACTTTCGAAATATAATATTTTCCTAATTCCATATTTCCTAATTATGTTTCTAATCGATGATGAATTCATAATGTAAATTTTGTATCGTAACTATTCCGCTAATAAAACTTGATACTGTTAATATGGCATTTTTATAAACTATTTGTAACATTTTTATATATATTTCAATTAAATTATAATAAAATTTATCACCTTTTTTATCAGAATAAAAAATAAGGTAATTATATTATATTGTATTCTAATAGAATTAACTAATTTTCGTTAACTATTATTTGTAAGAATTTTTATCTACTTTATAAAAATATTAACATTTAAATTCAATTTTTCCATTTATGTTTCAAATTGTTATACTAATATTTTTTTAAATTGAAAATTAATTTTTTAATCATTAAAAATAATATAAATTTAATTATTAAAAATGTTAATAAAACTTTAATTATTATTTAGTTACAAAGTTGTATTTATGAATAAATGAAATTTATATTTTTTCATTTAACCTGTTTTAGTAATTTAATTAGAAATATTAAAAGTACACCAAAATTTAACAAACGTGAAATATATTTTATTTAAATTTTATAATTATTATTTATTAAAACATAATTTTAGAGAAAATATAGCTTAGATATTTGTAACTAATTCTCATCTTCTAATTAATAATAAATTAAAAATTCCTTAATATAAATTAAAAAATTTATATTAATAGTTATATGATTAATTTTTATAATTATAAATATTCGAACAAAGATAAAACAAT